GGGTTTGGCGCACAGCAACGTCTGAAATGCCTCAGGTAGCCACGTCGTGCCCGTGTCTTTGGACCTCGTGTGGCTTCTCTTTGCTCTTTAATTAGCTGTCAAGTATTTAATTTAGAATAATTTGCTGATCTTTTTCGTTACGTGACGTGGCTACTGCCAGGGAATGTTACCTGGCTCTGCGCATTTTGGGTTTAAAATGGGGGGGAAGGACCAACCCCTGCGGCACCTGAGCGGCTCTGAACCCCAATGTCTTCTTCTTGTGGATGGCTCCTCTCAGGAAAACAAATTACTAAAAAAACAACCAACCAAACAAACAAAAAAACCCCCTGGGGACAGAGTTTTGAGAAGGGCAGTCAGTGTTACAGAGTTAAAATAGTTCCTGCTACAAAAAACCTGGTGCTGTTGTGGGGTGGGGAATGAGGGGAGTGGCACTGGGAGTAGCGGGAAATATTTCAGGGATTTATAAGCCATGAGACATGTGAGCAGGGTGAGTAAAGATCAGATCTTCACTTTCTCTTCCAGCCTGACTATGAGGAATCAATGCTGGCCGGTTCAGGAGATGCTTCTTAGCCATGTGTAGTGTAAAACTCTGGAACTCCGTGGAATGAATCTGTCAAAAGCTTATATGGATTTCAGGCAGAGTGGAAGTCCCCTGAGGGTTGTTAAATATGAAGACTTTCTCTGAAAATGCCCTAAAGAGGGACTAGAGGCTAGAGAGAGTGATCAGGAGGGTGTTGCTTTGCATTTGTTGTTTTTCTCGTCCCATGTATTATAGTTATGGCTACTGTTACATAGGATTCCTTGGCAAAGACCTCATGAGTTGAACTGGTGTAAAAATGAGTGTTTCAGCTGTTGATTTACCCCCTCTGCCTTGCTGCTGGAGGCACGGCAGGACTGGCAGGACTATTATGGCTGCTCTGATGCTTCAAGAGGATGAGACTGTTCTGTGCAGATGGAGAGAGGTTTGTTTGGGAAGGACGGGCATTCTAAGTTCTGGTAACTGTGCTTGACACCTCTCTCTGCTTCTGCAGGAATGTTTTTGATGGGAAGAACGATAATGCAGATTTAAAGATGAAGTGTACTAGCCTTCAGATTTAAGAGCCCAGGCTTCCTGTGTAACAGTGTGTCTATTTTATTGAGGATAGACATTCATTCATTCATTTAATTGCTTTCTGAGGTCAGGTGTGTTTAGAAGAAAATAAATTTCTATTATGTTAAAAATACAGTTGATCTTTAAAGATTCACTTAAACAGAGTCTTAGAAATACTCTCATGTTTGAACTTCTACTGCACTCAATAAATAAATTGTTTTGGTTTTTTTACTGTTCAAAATAACTAATCTTTTGAAATTTCCACCATCAGAATATTTATTTAAAGTGCTTTGGTGAAGTAACTGAGAATGCAAAGTGCTATGACAACTGTGTTTGTGTAATTAGATTTTTCTTGATGAGGGCTCATCATAATGAGTAGAAAAAATATTTGTAGGATAGTCTTTCTAGACCTTTTAAATAGAACATGAAATCTGTGTTGCATCTTAACTTGCTGCATAAGAAATAGGCACCTAATGTAAGTAAATTGTTTAGTGTTAAAAAAGTAGTACTTTAGAAAAGTAAAATACTTAATCTACAATGTCAGAAAGAAATATTGAGCAGCTGTTCTCTGCAGAATTGTTAAGAGCTCAGATTTTTTTTTTTGTGGAGAAACTGCTACATCTCTCTGCCAAAGATGCTGCCTCAACACCTAAAGATATTTTCTATTAGAAAATAGTGTCCACAGCTCTTGCTGAAATTGGAACTTACCTTTAGTTAGAATTACTGCTCTGCCTTCAGATTTGTCACATGCTTAGTAAGTTTTATGATAAACTTTAAATGGTTAAAGAAAGTAAGAATTTTTTATTTCTGGCAAGTTGTCAGTCTTTCTTAGTCAGTTCTGTAGCTCTTAATATTCAATGGCATTTTATTGCAAATGCATCAATTTGTTGTTGCTTTATCTGGCTATTGAAGGTGCTTTCTTGTGACAGGGTGTGCATGTGTAATGTGTTTGGAACAGTTTGCTTTCAAGCCAGTGGCAACAGAAAGCGTTGTTGTGGAGAAGGAAGCTCCCCTTCTGGCCTCTAGCTAGGTATTTGGTCTAACAAGCTGCTTTCATGTTTTAAACTTCTGTGTATTCTTAATCCAACCTCCTTGTGTGGGCTTCAAGAGTACTAATGCTATTAGAGAGGTTTTTTTCCATAGCATCTGACATTTCCTTGTGAATTCAGTGGAACTGGCTGGATGCATTAGGTCTTTAATGTCTTGGCCTGGGTAAGAGTGTGTGCAGTATGTCCTTGGTGCACCAGAGTACAATGTTTTCATAGCTGTCAAGGGGACAGTAGTCGCTTGCCATGCTAGTTTTACTTGGTAAAACCACCTACTTCACTTTGTTCTAGTTTGGGGGAGGTTTGATTACAGAAACAGTGTGAATAACATCTGTTCAAAATCACCCTGTATTGCTAGAGGCTTAGCTTCAGGATGGAAATTACTGCAGCAACCAGAAAGAAAATCTCAGTGAGTTGTTCTGTTACATATACAGCAAACTGCTTATGAGAATCAGAAGAGGCATTCCAGGGAAGGTTTGGAAAGGGAGAGAGAGATATCTTTGTTTCTGCACAAAGCTGACTGGATTCTGCTTTTACAAAAGGTTCCATACTGACATGTGGCACTGCTCTTGATTCGTGTCACGTAAAAATTGAATAGTATTGATTATCCTTAAACCAGTGTTAAAGTCAGACCTAAAGCCTAATGCAAGTAGGTGGCTAAAAAACTCCCGACCTTCTGTGTAAAAGCTTTAAGAATGTTGTTCCAATCCATTTTAGTCGGACTTTGTCAGTTTCTGGAGTTCAGAAGCATGGATTATTCTTATAGCCTACCTTTTACATAGCTGGCAAGCATGTTAATTACTGAATTCTTCACTTTCTGTTTTTCAAAACCCATTATCCATTATTAAGTCTGC